ATTCTGTCGACTTGAGGGATACTAAATACACACCAAACCCTAAAACCCTAACACCCTTTGCCTCAAACCCGATACCTTAGACCCTATACCCTTTCGAAATGTCAAGCTCTGTATGTCCTCGCCCCAAGTGCCATCCACCCTTGAACCACGGCTCCACGTCCCAATGTCTGATCAAGTGGTACGGGGTTTAGGGTTTAGGATGGTTTAGGTGTTCCTTTTGAGGCTTATACAGTGGTAGAATAGGATTTAGGGTTGGGGTTGAGTGACCATTTCTCTTCGCGGAGAACCGCGGAAATCCTTAACCACTTGTCTGGGTCATTGTCAGGGTTTAGGGAAGATGCAGTTCTGAATGTTACCAGTATCCCAATAAGCCCGAGAAGAAAGGCGCCGCCAAGGATGTAAGCTGTTGATGCGCGACCCTAAGACATAAACCCTAAATCCCTAAACTAGTCCAAGTAGGAGCCCTTAAAGGGGACCTTTACGTAACTATGTAAACTAGTGATTCTTGAGCCTCAACCCTAAACCCCCGGATACGGAAATTATCTCAACCCTAACTCCTCAACTCCACACCCTGAATCCTAAACTCTAAACCCTAAGTTTTAGGTTTAGGGTTTAGGGTTAGGGTTTAGGGTTTAGGGACCCTTTTTGGCTTCCGCCGTCAGGAGGTAGTGGAAGCGAGCGGAGGCTGGAATTGGATTGACTTAGGGACAGCTGGCTACTTGGAGGGTTAAGGGTTTAGGATTTAGTGTTTAGGACTCAGGGTTTATAAGGTTTGGGGGTAAGGACTTAGCAAACACGTAGTAGGGTTGTTTTTTTTGTTTTCAGGTTTGAGGGTTGGTTTGGGTCAAGGTCACTGAGTCAGTATAGCCCCTCAAAGTCACAGTAGGCATTGGTTGTCAAGGATATTTCCCTACTTACAGGGTCTCTCTGACCCTCCAAGAAGGGATCTTCACGCTTTTGGGGGTCTTGATCTGTGAGTTGGGGCCTCATAGCAGCTACAAAGGGCAACATACACGTTTAGAGACGTCATTGGAGAATAGGTTTAACAGGGTTATATATATAGCCCTTAATATGACCCCTGTTATAGACTGTTAATGGGTGGGAGCAGGACTCAAAGTATTCCATGGACTCAATTGTTAATAACGCCTACCTGGAGGGCCAAGAAGATTTAGTAAGTAGGTTGATCGTCCCCATGAGCCATAGAATGAACCCTAAGCCCTAAGCCCTAAACCTTAAACCCTAAACCCTAAACCCCAATTATCCTCAGCATTAAAGCCCGGAACCCTGTACCCTAACTTCCTAAGCCTCCCTGACCTTCCACGTTGGAGCCTGAAGTTTCTGAAAAGGGTTTAAGGCTTAGGGACGTGTAGGGCTTAAGGTTTAGGGTTTGGGGGTTTAGGGTTTGGGGTTTAGGGTTCAAGGCTTATGGATGTTTAGGGCTTAAGGCTTAGGGTTTAGGGGTTTAGGGTTGAGGGTTTAGGGCTTAGGGATGTTTAGGGTTTAAAGTTTGGGGCCACCTGCCGTGAGGTCAGTTGCGGCTCATTAACATTAGCGTTGACACTGCGGCAGGACGACAGGAGTTTCCTTTGAGAGGCCCCTGCAAAAGAGACCCTTGTAATCTTGGGGGGCCAACCTCAAAACTACCCGCAAATATCGGGCACTGTCCAAACAGCCTCTGAGCCAGCAGACGTCCGGGTGTGTTTCGGGCTTCGGGTTTGCCAGCGGGCGTTTTGAATGAAAAGGTATCGTCTTCAAGTACCGATTGCTGACAACAGTTTGCACATCATATTGTACCTTCAGGGCCCAAGGACCCAAATAATTGGGTTTCAGGGCCCAA